TACATCATCAAATAAAAATAGAACAAAAATTAAGTAAAAATATCAATGCATCTATATTCTAATTGACTAATTGACTGAAAATAAAAATAAAAAATTGACTGAAAATGAATCTAATATTACTAATTGACTGAAAATATAAAAGAAAATGGATATTAATGATCCATAATTGACTAAAATAAAAATAAAAATGGTCAGATCATTGCATTATAATTAAAAATGGAACAGAAATTAAAAATTAGACAAAAATATTTCAATAATAATATTCTACATCATCAATAGTAAACACATATTTTTAACAATAGTAAAAGTAAATTAAAAATGGAACGGAAATATTTCAAAAATAATATCTACATCATCAATTAAAAATAGACAACATTGTGTTGGCACTTTATGCCTAATGAACAAAATAATGGTGTTACATTTATACCTAATGAACTTGCGGCATTTTATTATAATTCCAGTTGTGTAAATAAAAGCCACAAACTACAGTTCTCTTTCAATTCAATGTCAAGTAGTCGACCGTTGCAACGAATCTACACGGATGTGTGGAGTTTTGCAACAGTCTCGGTCGACGTGTTTAAATATTATGTTCACTTCGTTGATCATTTCACTAAGTATGTATGGCTATTCCCGTTAAAACTTAAGTCGGATGTGTCCCGTGTCTTTACTCAATTTAAAAGGTTGGTAGAAAATTACTTTGGCTACAAAATTGTGTCGATTTCTCCTGACAATGGTGGCGAGTATTTAAAGCTAATTCCAATCTTTAATTCCCTGGGTATTTCACACTTCACCTCACCCCCACATACACCAGAACATAATGGTCCGGCGGAGCGCCGACATAGGCATATTGTTGAGACGGGAATGGCGCTTCTTCAATATGCGTCCGTACCCGTCTCGTATTGGTCCTATGGTTTTCAAGCCGCGGTCTATCTAATAAATCGTATGCCCACTGTTCTTCTCAATCATATCTCGCCTTATGAGAAACTCTTTAATAAACAACCGAACTATAAAAAAAAAATCGGACCTTTTGGGTGCTTATGTTACCCCTGGCTAAAGCCGTATTTCCCGTCCAAAGTCCACGCCTTGTGTTTTCATGGGATACTCGTTGAGTCAGTCAGCCTACAAATGCTTCGAAGTTTCAAGTGGGCGTGTCTATGTTTCTCGACACGTTCAGTTTGTACCTAATGTATTTCTGTTCACCACCCTAGTTTAACAATCCAAGTCTGCTAATGAGGTGTCATCACCGCCCGTGCCAATTAGAGTGCCTTGGTATCATTCCACCTTTTGTACTACAGATACTCCTAGACTGTTGCCTGGTGCTACTGCAGGTTCACCACCCCTTGAGTCGGCGGTTGGAGTGTATTCGGTTTCTACTCTGGTGCTCTCCCGGTCACCGTCGCCAGTGCAGATTCCAAAATCTCCCTCGCGCACACCGGTGGAGGCCGACCAAATGAGGGACTGTGCAGAGCAGCAATTGACGTCGCGGCCGACTGTTCAAGGTTCTCCGGCGACTGCAGAATCTGGTCGTGTACTCTTGCTGGATGGTTCGGCTGGTTTAGGTGTGTCGTCGTCCGATACTTTTCCAGAACACTCTACCGCTGGTCAGGATTCTGCGACGGCAAAATCGGAAGCTGCAGCAACCTCGGTGCAGTTGGCCGGCTCCTCGCATGACGGTTCCACGTGTGCGGTTGCTTCGCAGGGTGATGCGTCAATAGCGGTGACAGATCATGCTGCTGCTCATCCTGTGCACAGGTCTCAACGTCCACGTCGGCCTAATCCGAAGTATTTCGGTGAGAAATTTGTCGATCTCACGACGTTGCATCCTGTCGCTCAGACTATTGAACCGCACACCGTGGACCAAGCACTGAAGAGCGATTTGTGGCGAGCGGCTATGTAACACCTCGTGTTACGGCCTTTAATCCCGAATTAATTATTTAATTAATCCCGTTAATAATAATTAAAAAGAATTTAATTTGGTTAGGATTCTCTTTAATTAATTAATATGGTCCACCATGGACCATGGACCCTTATCCCTAAACCAAGCCCTTAGTCCTATAAGGAATAGAATTAGTAAATCCATACCATTCATACCTAACTAGGACCCCTATATATATATATATATATATATATATATATATATATATATATATATATATATATATATATATATATATAAAAGACATAGGAGGCACCTTGAAGTCACACCACAATAGATATCACCACACAAGAATTCCCAAGGGACTCCCCACCACCAAGCCTTGGAGATCAAACGGATGGAAATCTTAGGGAAGAACCTTAATAGCCAAGGGAGGATTAATTAAGGCTAAGAGGTAACCCATGTCTCAACAAAACCTATTTTCCTTGCTATGATCTCCTTCTTTGGCTCCCTCTATATACTTGTGTCTTGATGAATTTCTTCATGATATTTGTGATATAATCTTGATTGATTGATGTGATGATTTTAAGAAGGATCTTGATGATCTTGATGTTAAAAAGAGGTTCTTGATATTTATGTGATGATTCTTGATAAATCTTGATGGTTCTTCATAATGAAAATAAAATATGATTTTGATAATTTGGGTGGGACTAGAGCCCTAGGTTGGATTGGGAATTGGTATTGTGATGTTCTTGATTTATATTTGGGTGGGAATTTGCATGTTCGGGTGTTGTTCGTGTCTAGAAGTCATGTTAGGATGTGTTCAATATGATTCTTGTTTTCGATTCATTAAATACCTATGTGGTGTCGTTAATTGCGTTTAAAAATGTCTAAGCATGGTTTCGGGTTCCACAAAGGATCTCGAGACGCGTATTTGCTAAAAGAGTCAGTGGGGGGTAGGTGGGGGTAGGGGTACCTGCTGCCCAAAGTGAGACCGCCAGCCGGCGGGCAGTCGTCTGCCCGCCGGGCACCCGCTGCCCGGAAGATGTCGCCGGCGGGTGGCCCTCCACCCACCGGCTACCCGCTGGTAGGGATGTCAATCGGGCCAGCCCACTCGGTTTCGGGCTAACCCTGTCGGGTTGTTGGGCTAATCGGTTAATTAATATTTTATTCTCGGGTTCGGTTTGGCCCTAACCCTAAACTTCGGGTTGTCGGGCTAATCGGGCGAGTTGAACAATCTGAACTAAAATTAGAAACTGAAAGTGAGTACTCATATTTAGAGTAGGAATAATAACGGGGCGGGGCAAAACGGGGGGTAGCATTTAGTTTTATATAGTACTCGTGTGCTATGACCCACCGACCTGGACGCGCTAGGCGGTGTGTAGGGCCAATAAACCCGAGGAAGTCTGTAGTCCACCGAATGAGCAATCAGGCGGTGTGTAGGGCTACGGCTGGCCGCCATCCACCGAGTGATGGGCCAGCGGTGTGTAGGGTCGTAGTCTCCGAGGATCATCGCCCACCGACTGAGTCCCTCAGCGGTGTGTAGGGCTTGATCCGCTACGATCCACCGACTGTGCCCGTCAATGGTGTGTAGGATCGTAGTCCCCCCTTGTAAAGAGGATCACAGTCCACCGAGCGCGTCAGCGGTGTGTAGGACTGTGGTCCGCCGCTGAGTTCGTCAGCGGTCTATAGGGTTGGTTGCGATCAACAACTTTCATGCTGCGGTATGAGGTAGGGTGCTGCGGGGCCGTGTTAGTGCTATATGCACTAACCCTCATGTTCGGGGCATGCGATTGGTCCCGTGGCGCCACCAAAGTGTGCTTGTGTGATATGAATGATGATTGGATGATGATATGATTGATTTGAAAGTGATCTGTGACCTTAGATGCGTATTCTTTATGATGATTGTCTCTACTTAACTGTTATCATTGATTATTGTGCTTCCCCCTATTTGCTGAGTCTATTCCTGGTTTTAAAGCTAGAGTCTCCTAAGTATATATCTTCCTGCTTCAAAATGATTTTCCTATATATATATATATATATATATATATATATATATATATATATATATATACCTATACTGTATTTCAACGCGTTGGAGTGGGTTACCAGCATCATTCGCTGAACAGATATATTTGGCTTTCAGGCACAGATGAGTAGACACCGGAGCGCGCTAGAGATCCGGAGCGTAAATTAGTTAGTTTCCTTTTCGGCCTGCGTGCCATGATTATGTATTGACATTGCTTGAGGTTGTTTAGTTAGTTTAGCCTGTGCGTCTGAGTTTTCCAGCTCAGATGTGGCATAGTACCCCGCACTTTTATGTTGATTTTGATATTTAATGAGAATTCACCTTTATTATATAAGCTTTAAAAGTTTCAAAATTTCGGGGTGTTACAGGCTATGTCGGACGAATTTTGTGCACTGGTAAGAAACGCCACGTGAGAGCTAGTGCAACAGGCTAATTATAACGTGGTTGGCTGTAAGTGGGTATTCAGGGTGAAGCGTAAGGCTAATGGCTCTGTAGACCGTTTCAAGGCTCGTCTGGTGGCCAAAGGTTTTTTACAGGAACCTGGGCGAGATTATTTTGAGACTTTTAGTCCGGTGGTCAAGCCGGTCACGGTTCGTTTTATTTTAAGCATTGCTTTATCCTAGGGTTGGTCGTTGTGTCAGTTGGATGTAAATAATGCGTTTCTGAATGGCATGCTTCACGAGGAAGTTTACATGGCCCAACCGCCAGGCTTTGTTAATTCAAAAAAGCCAGATCATGTGTGTTGATTGAGGAAGGCGATCTACAGGTTAAAACAAGCCCCCGGGGCTTAGTATCTCGAGTTGTCCAGCTTTCTAGTCTCTGTTGGTTTTAAGAAGTCTGTTGCAGACACTTATTTATTTATTTATTGTAACAACAACATTTCCCTGTATTTCCTAGTATATGTCGACGATATAATTGTTACAGGGAATAATGTGGCCTTTACTGCCGGCGTTTATTCGTCGTCTGGCAGAAAGGTTCTCTTTAAAGGATTTAGGGCAGTTGCATCATTTCTTAGGTGTAGAAGTGATCCCTACGGCTAGTGGTGTGTTTCTTTCCCAGAGTTAGTATGTGGCTGACATTTTGGACCAGTTTAGTATGACGGGGGCGAATCCGGTTTCCACTCTGATGTGTACATCGGTGGATTTGGGTTCCGACAGTACGCTGTTTGACTCCACAGCGTATTGCCGTGTCATTGGCCGCTTGCAGTATCTGTCCATCACCAGACCGGATATCTCGTTTGCGGTAAATCGCCTGGCACAGTCTATGGCATCACCGACTGAGGGTCACTGGCTAGCTGTAAAGCGGATCCTGCGCAACTTGAAAAGTACGCTGCTCTTTGGCCTTCACTTTCGGCGTGGGAGTCCGCTTTCCCTTGTGGCTTATTCGAACTCTGACTGGGGCAGTGTCCGTGACAGGGGGCGGTCTACCACGGCCTATTGTGTGTTCTTTGGCCCTAACATTATTTCCTGGAAGTCTGTGAAACAATGTTCAATTTCCCGGTCCTCCACTGAAGCCGAGTTCCGTGTGCTTGTCAATTCCGCTGCTGAAGTTATGTGGGTGCAGAGTCTGTTACGTGAGCTTGGGATTCGTCTTTGTTCTACACCGCGGCTCATCACTAACAACTTGAGTGCTTCGTATGTCTGCAAAAATCTAGTTTTTCACTCCGTATGAAGCACCTAGCACTTGACTATTTCTTCGTCCGTGAGCATATTACTTCTGGCGCTTTACGTGTTGGTTATGTTTGTTCGGTTGAGCAGATTGCAGATCTTTTGACTAAACCCCTGGATTTCAAATCACTTACTTGAGTAAAAAGTAACAAGTTTTCTAAATTCAAGTACCAAATTAAATGTAGTTGATTTTAAAATGGTGAACAAAAAGTTTAATTAAAAATGTAATAGTCCAATGAGTAAAACTAAATTAAAACTAAAATTCAATTTGCATTGATCGAATTATACAAGGACAAGTAATTTTGGAAGGAAAACCTCTTTTTATTATAACTAGTATTTGCACCCGTGCGATGCACGGAATGAATTTGTTGTAATATAGTAAGAATACATGAATCGATATATAATTATTTAAATTAGAACATCCAATATTATATAGTACAATTAAAGATATGGTTTGCATCGTTTATATATTTTGATGTTATTATTGTTTGAATTTGTGTAAATAATTGCTCAAATTAATAGCTAATGTCTAGATGTACACATATGGTGCTATAACTTTGAAGATTTTATTTATCATTATTTAGTATTTTCATAAATTAGGCAAATGTGCTCGTTCTCTAACAACTCAGTTATAGAAATGAATTGGTATCCTTATTCATTTGTATGGAAGATATATTTTTTTGTCAAGATATATAGCAATTTTTTCATTTAAAAAAAAAACTTAATATCCCCGATTATATTTACACATTATTGAAACCTCTTTGTAGACGACATTGGTAGTGACAACGCAATCTTGTTCATCTTCGTCTAGAGCTAACACCTTCAATTCATCGGGACGGGTTATTTGGGTTAAAATATATAATGGTAGAATATTACTCAATTAGTTATCCTTTTATATTTTCAATCAATTAGTGATATCAGATTCATTTTCATCAAATTATTTTTTTTATTTTCAGTCAATTAGAATATCAAATGCAGTGATATTTTTACCTAATTTTCGTTCCATTTTTAATTGATGATGTAGATATTATTATTGAAATATTTTCGTTCCATTTTTAATTTACTTTTACTATTGTAAAAAATATGCATTTACTATTGATAATGTAGAATATTATTATTGAAATATTTTTTCCTCAAATTTTTAATTTTCATTCCATTTTTAATTAAAATGCAATGATCTGACCATTTATTTGTCTTTTTTTTTTAGTCAATTATGGATCATTTTTTATTTGCAGTCAATTATTAATATTCATTTCATTTTATATTTTCAGTCAATTAGTAATATTAGATTCATTTTCAGTCAATTATTTTTTTTTATTTTCAGTCAATTAGAATATAGATGTAGTGATATTTTTACCTAATTTCCGTTACATTTTAATTTGATGATTTTTAATTTACATTTACTATTTTTAAAATATGTCTTTACTACTTGATGATGTAAAATATTATTACTGAAATATTTCCTTTCCATTTTTAATTTTCCTTTACTTCTAAATTTTTTTTAAAAAAAAAAAAAAAAACTTTGGACTTATCACTACTTAAAGACTTTGGACTTCTCAATACTTGCCCACATTGATTTTTTTTTTTGGTAAACCCAGGGTTTCCATCGTTGGACACAGTGACTAATCCCCTCGCTAAATTGTAAGCACCTCTTTTGGGTGGGACAGCTGGCTTAGAGATTTAAGGCTGCTCCATTCCCAAATCCAAGGATCGAACCCTTTACCTTTGGTTAAGGATGGATGAGTCCTTTACACTCAACCACACCCTTCAGGTTACTTGCCTACATTGATGGGCAAGCAATTATGTTTGTAAGAGGAACATTGCTCCTCTTTCCAAACATTTTCAATGTGATATCAAAATGATCCCACATCATTTACAAAGGGAGCCCGTGACTTCCTTTTGTCTTCTCCTTATTTTTTTTTTTTAAATTTTAATTTTATTTTGTATATCGTTTTGTTTAGATTATTATTATTATTATTATTATTATTATTATTATTATTATTATTATTATTATTATTATTATTATTATTATTATTATTGACAAATTCGTCATTTTAACAATTTATCTTTAATCAAAACACCAAAATTATTATTTAATAACTAAGTAATCTGCTCCAAACTACTAAAATCTAAAACAACACATATATTTTGAGTTAATCTTTCCTAACCCCCAATAATAAATAAATAAAACTAAAATAATAAGACAAAGCTAAGGTTTCTTAAATAAGAACCTTTTGACTTCTCAATACTCGCCACATCGATGGGCAAACAATTATGTTTGTACCTCTTATATAGAAGAGCTCTGGAGCTCATCTTTTCAAACATTTTCAATTTGGGATGAAAATGAACCCACATCATTTACAAAGGGAGCATGTGGCTCCCCTTTGCCTTTTTTTTTTCTTTTTTTTTAATGTTAATTTTAATTTTATTTTGTATATAGTTTTGTTTGGATTATTATTATTATTATTATTGTTATTATTATTATTATTATTATTATTATTATT